TCCACCTCAAACCACTGAACTTCACTGATCCAAGCTGGCCATGGGTTGGGCTGCCCTTTCTCCCACCCTCTTGGATATCAACCATCCTCCTCCTCCTCCTGACTGAACATTGGCCTAGAAGGTTTATCCCTCCTTCATGCATCCAGAAATCTTCCTTCTCCCAGGAAGAGCAGGAATGTGTCGTGTGAGGCTGGGATTAACTGAACTGGTGCTCATGAATCACTCAGAAGAGCAGCCTGGGCTGCTCTAAAAGTCCCTCGTGTGCAGGATTAGCTCTCTCCAGCTCCTCCAACATTCCTGGCCAACCTTGTTTTCCAGGAGTGACCATAGGAACAAGAAATAAGAAAACCAAGGGGATATGGTGACATTTTGGGGGGGGGGTGAACCAAAATCTGCTGGGAAATGGTGCCCATTAAGACCATGGAGAAGCCAGGGCTAAAACTGGGAGCACAGGGGGTGGAAGACAAGGAGAGGGAGGTGCACAAATCATTGAGAAAGCTTAAAACCCAACATGGCTCTTGGAGGGAGATGGACAGACAGATTTCAGCCCTTTGGGATGGCCTTGCTTAGGAGTTTATGGAGGAAAAAAAGCTCAATTTCCCATCCTTTCTGCCAAGGAAGAGAACATATCCCGGGTAATCCCTGGCTGGATGTGCTGTGCTGGACCACTGGAAGGAGGAGGTTCGAGGTGAGGTTTCCCAACTATTTTCTGGGTCCCCCAAAATTCCCGTTGCCAGAGAGGCTTTTTTTGTTTCTACTTCTCTTTTTGACGGCCCCGTTCAGGAACAATCTGTCTCTGGCCCCAAATCCAGAAGGCTGATTTCCTTCCAGTTGCCATCCCTTGTTGGAGAGGGGTCTCCAAGGAGCCATTTCATCCCGGAGCGCGCCAGCCAAGCCAAACAGACGGGGTGGGGAGGGGAGGACAGGGAGGGAGGAAAAGTGCATTTCTGAGGTTTTAATAATCCCTTCTCCCGCCCGAATCCCAGTGGAAGGGCGGGCGTTTTCCAGATGGTAGCAAATAAACTCCGGGAAGCTTCCATGCTGAGAACTCATTAGCCCGGCTGGCCCCGCTCCAAGCTCCGTGGCAGTCCATGTAAACCTCAGTTGGAGCTGCCCTTTCCCTGTCATCTGTTCCCAGGAAACCTCCAGCCCTGTCTCACAAGGACAAGCTGCCCGGCGAGATGTTAATTTGATTACGTGCGTGGCCTTTGCCTCTCGGAGGGATCGGGAGCTCGGGGAAGTGTCTTCCCAAAAAACCTGCTGCGTGTGAATCCAAAGCTTCTCAGCTGCCTTCCCAACACCATGTGGAGCTGGGGAGCTGGGAGGTGTTTGTCTGGCTGCCCAGGTTGCAAAGGCACAGCACTGGACAGGAAAAAAATGTATGTATTATATATTATATGTATTATATGTCCATTTGTGGGATTTAAGCCCGGTCACAACCTGGGCTGTGCCAGGTTATATCTGCTCTTGGTGGCTGTCACTGCCACCTACCACAAATGGCAAGGCCTCCAGAGCAACCACAAGGGTCCAAGTCACCACCTTCTGCCCTGAGGCTCTGAGAACCACTCACTGGGTGACAGGAAAGCCACAGGAGCAACACCAGGCCCTGCCAGGGTCCTCATCCCTGTGTGACTGCAAGTCGTCAGGCTCAGCCAAAGCTGTGATGTTGAATAAAGAGGTTTTTTTTTCCTCTCTGAAACCTCACAGATTTTCCATATCACCAAGTTTTCCAGGTTGGCAGAGTTCTCAATCCCCTCTGAAAAGCTCCAGCTAAAGGCAGATGTTTCCACAACTCCCCTGGGTGAAAAGCGTCCCGTCTCCTGCAGGCTTGACCCAATCGCCCCGAGTTTTAAAATGTGGGAAGCAGAGTAAGGAAACCCCACCGTGGCACACTCAGGGGCGTGGTGGGGCCAGGCAGCACTTTTTGGGATGCCAGGATGGCACGTGGTGGCCAACAGCCACATCCTGTGGTCCCAGGGAGCCCCAGCACTGGAGGGAAGCAGGGGAGGGAGGATAACCCTGCAGCGAGGGAGCGCAGGGTTCCCCTCAGGAAGTGGCTTTCTCTGTTTGCAGAAGGTGAAATCTGCTGATGGAGAGTACAAAACATGTGGATTTGGGAAAGAGAATATCCCAAATAACATGAAAGCTTGGAGCAGCCACGGCAGCACAGTAGGGAGCTGTCCTGGAGCAGCTCCCACTTGGATTCATAGCTCTGTTGAGTCAGGAATTGTTCTCCTGGGCCACAACAAATCCCAAAACATACTCCCAGAGAGGATCCCTCCTTCCCTTTCAGGATCTTCTGTCCTTCCCTGAGCTTTCCATCTTTTCCTTTTGCTGTCCATCCCTAAGTAGAATCCTGGACACGCAGCAGCTGGAGAAGAGCCTCCTGTGCCCAGGCTGTGGGAGGAGGGACGAGGTGCTTAGTTAGGAATAAATCCCAGGAAGGGTTTTAACATTTATGGCCAGTGAGATAATGAAGGAAGGTCATCTGGGGGAGCTCCACTGCAGTTCTCATAATGTTTCCCTGAAGCACAGAGATAAAAGTCAGTGGGTGACGTCCATTAGGGAGCTTTTATATCTTTTTTTGTTGGTTTTTTTTCAGCAATAGCCATCTCGATCGGAGATGGGCGTCACTTTGTGAGCACAGAGAAGGCAATTATGTGATGTTTAAACCCAGAATTACAGTACTCAAGGCTCACATGACTGTCACAACCCATACTGGAGATCCACTGTTCCCAACCTTAAATTGTTTTATCATATGGAGCAACGCTCTTCCTGGGTTTGTCTCTGCATTTGGAGACATCCTGACCCATCTTCTCCTCCTCCCCTCCTTTATTTTCTGCCTTTACCTTCTCATTTTACCCCATCCAGGTGTAGATGATAGACTCAAAAACTCAAATGCCTTTAGCATCTTCAGTTCAGACTTCTACTAAGAGCAGACTGATGTCTGCAAGATATATGTGATAAATAAAATCAGGATAACAGGCAAAAAGATCTCCAAAAGCTGTCATTTTACTTCTCTCCCTCCGTGACAGTCTCATCTCTTATTATTTTCCAAATATTTCCATCAAAATGATAATATAGATTTTTTTTTCTCCCCCACCAGTTCTGGAATTGTACTTTTTTTCCTAAGGAAACACATTCCTTCCTCCTTTGAAAGCACCCCAGGCCCTCACTCCTGCAGATGGCTGTGATTCCCAGTATAAACGATGGATGGCACCAGTCCTCCCAGCCAAAAAAAAATAGGAAAACCAAGGTAATGGTGCCCTGGAAATTATTTGATTATCAAAGGAGTTAATAATTGTCGTTGTTAAGGATACAGAAATTCGGCAGAAAATAACCCCCTTTGATTTCCAGCTGATTCTCAGAGGTCGGAATTAATTTCTGATTGTAAAATTATAAAATTAATTCAGCACTAGAAGTCTGGTCAGGTCCAAGAAGAACTTGTGCAATCACAAATAGCACAATTTATAATCTTATAAGTGTTAAAAAAAGTGGGGATGTGGCACTCGGGGATGTGGTTTAGTGGTGGCCTTGATGGTTATTGATTACTGGTTGGACTCATTGATCTCAGAGGTGTTTTCCAACCTAAATAATTCTATAATTTTATGACACTGTAGGTAGGTCTGGCCGAGTTCAATAAGAACTTCTGTGACCCGGTGTCACAAATAATACAATTTATTGGAGCAACAGGAAAGAGGGTTCAGGATTGCCAGTGATAAATGATAAATTATAAATACACTAATGACAGTGTACTGATAATACGTGTTTTGACAGAAAATATAGAAACAGAGATCTATTAGTGCTAAATATATAAATATATATATAAACTTAATGTTCCTGGGGCTGCTCCAATGTGTTGGAGGCACAAAGCTCCCTTCAAGGAAGGAGGAAAGACATGGAGGTCAACAGATCCCAAAAAAGAAGAAGTGTTCTCTCCTTCAGATTTTTGCCCTGAAATCCCTATTTTATCCCATTTTTGGCCCTTCCCAATGGAATGGAACAATCACAGGTGGGATTTTGGTGGCTGTGGTCATACATGGAGGGCGTCGTGTTCTCTCTTCATTTTAGTCCTTAGGGATTAAATTAAGATTTAAACCCCTCAAATATGACCCCTCGAAATATGAGGGTCTCAGTTACTTTATAGTTGACCAAAAATGTGGAATAAACACTTTATTCCCCCTGCAGGTATCAAGGTGGCAGTAAAGGCTCTGTGGCCTTTGCCAGAGGGGCTTGGTGAGCATCTTTACCTCCTTAAAGTGACAAGGTCACTTTATATCTCTCTATATATTTATATATTTATATATAAACAAGGTTTGGTTTATATATAGATATATAAAATATATGATATTTTATGATATATGAAATTTTATGACATATGATATATGATATTTTACATATAATATAACTAGAATATCATCATCATCATCATCATCTAACTAGAATATAACTAGAATATAAATATAAATATTTATATTATAAAAATAACTATTTTATTTGTATAAAAGATTTAATTTTATATAAATAGATAAATATTATTTTACATTATAAATATCTATGTTTATATACAAAAACCCCTCATATTTATATACAAACATTATATATATTAAAATATTATTATATTATTACGTACTATATATACTATATATATATTTATATATATATATATATATATATATATATAAAAACCCCAAGGTTGTGCTTTTGCACTGTGAAGGGGAGAGGGGAGTGAGGCCAATGGCCGCCTCAGCGGAGGCGGACTTACAACTTCCCAAGATGTCCGCGCCCGGCGGACACGGGCGTGGGCGCCCCGCGCTCGAACTACAACTCCCATGGTGCACCGCTGCACGCTCCCGCGTTTCTATTGGCTGGTTGGGCGGTCGGTTGCGCATCCCTGAGGGGGAGCGACCCCTTTCCCGTCTCCATTGCAAACGAGACAAGTAACAAGATGGCGGCGCCCAAGCCTGAGTAGGGACGGGATCGATAGCGCGGCCCCTCCGCCCGCTCTTTTCTTTATCACGGCTCATGGCGGGGGGCGAGGAGAACGGCCGAGAGGGCAGCTGCGAGGAGCGTCTTACCCCTTCTCGTGAGCCGCCGGAGCAGCTCGCTCAGGGGCGCCCCGAGGAGCAGCCCCAGCTCAGCCCGCCTGGCCAGGAGGACCACGAGGAGGAGGAGGGCGAAGGGGAAGAGGAGTCACAGCGCTCAGAGGTTCAGCTCAGGGCTGCCCAGCTGTCTGGGGAGGGGGGTGCTCGTGAGGGGACAGCCCTTTCCCTCCTCATCCCTCGATGGAGATTTGAGGGAAAGAAGGGGGAGTGTGTGGATTGTGTCCTCTCGCCTCTCATTTCTACCTTTTTTAGGGTCTCATGGTGTCCAAGGTACTCCTGGATTGCCCCCTCCCTTTCTTTCATAGAATCATTTAGACTGGAAAAGACTTCTAAAATAATCCAGTTCTAACCATTAACCCAGCATTGCCAAGTCCCCTTGGTATACAAAGATTAAGGATAAGCTGGCACATGTATGGCCAAATTAACACCCTTTTTCTGTTCAAATTCCCAGCCCTGAAATTCAGTCAGCCTCTGGACCCAAGTGAATTTTTAATCCCTCCTCTACTGGGCTCTAAATGCCCACATCAACATCATATTTCACCTGTAAATATATGATAAATTCTTCTCTTTTTCCCACTGCTGTAATGTGGAGGTGCTGTAATTTAGATGATCACATTGTTTATCTTGAATTTAGAGGATCACATTATTTATCTTGGTCCCTGGATTAGCAATTGTTGTGTGGCTCCTCCAGGCTTTTAGGAATTTCAAAAGCCATTGGCTTGTTTTCTCATTAAACCTGCACAGAGGCTCCTCAGTGCCAGCTGTCAAAATGCCTTTTTGGCAAACATTTCTCTCTCAGGAGCAGCACTGGCTGCTCATGCTGAACACATTTATAGGGTTTCCATAATATGCATATTGGGGTGCAACACTGGGGTTATGTTGGTGCTGATTTGGTGGGATGTTAATGGGAATTTCGTGGCTCAACATCTCTAGGAATGGGGCCTGTGTAGAGCTCTGTTTAACCCAGGAGGTAAAAAAGTAAAAATCCCCACAGAAAACCTGCTGAACTTTTTTAAGTGTATAGAACTGGCATATGCCATGTTTTTATTTAACTTTTTTAGTGCTGTATTCCTCATTTTTCCTGGGTTTTAGTGCCTTAGGATGCTCAGCCTCTCTGGGAGTGGGCCTTTTGTAAAGCTCTTTATAAACCCAGGAGGTAAAAAAATAACAATCCCAACAGAAACCTGCTGAAACGTTTTAAATGTATAGAACTGATAAATAGCATGTTTCTATTTCACTGGTTTGGGCTGTATTGCTCATTTTTCCTGGTTTTTAGTGCCTTAGGATGATCAGCATCTCTGAGAATGGGGCCTGTGTAGAGCTCTGTTTAACCCATGAGCTAAAAAAGTAACAATTCCCACAGAAAACCTGCTGGAACTTTTAAAATGTGTAGAGCTAGTATGGCATGTTTCTATTTAAGTGTTTTTGGTCTGTATGCCTCATTTTTCCTGGTTTTTAGTGCCTCGGGATACTCAGCATCTCTGGGAGTGGGGCCTGTGTAGAGATGTGTGTTTAATCCAGGAGGTAAAAAAATAAAAATCCCTGGAGAAAACCTGCTGAAACTTTTAAAATGTATAGAACTGATAAATAGCATGTTTTTATTTAATTTTTGGGGGTTATATTCCTCATTTTTCCTGGTTTTTAGAGCCTTGGGATGCTCAACATCTCTGGGAATGGGGCCTGTGTGGAGCTGTGTGTTTAAAGCAGGGGTAAAAAAATAAAAATCCCCACAGAAAACCTACTGGATCTTTTTAAATGTATAGAACTGGTATATGCCATGTTTGTATTTAAGTTTTTTGGGGGGCTGTATCCCTCATTTTTCCTGGTTTTTAGTGCCTTAGGATGCTCAGCATCTCTGGGAATGGGGCCTGTGTAGAGCTCTGTTTCACCCATGAGCTAAAAAAGTAACAATCCCCACAGAAAACCTGCTGGAACTTTTAAAATGTGTAGAGCTAGTATGGCATGTTTCTATTTCAGTGGTTTTGGTCTGTATTCCTCATTTTTCCTGGGTTTTAGTGCCTCAGGTTGGTCAATATCTTTGGGAGTGGGGCCTGTGTAGAGATGTGTGTTTAACCCATGAGGTAAAAAAGTAAAAATCCCTAGAGAAAACCTGCTGAAATTTTTAAAATGTATAGAGCTAGTATGGAATGTTTCTATTTAAGTGTTTTTGGGCTGTATGCCTCATTTTTCCTGGTTTTTAGTGCCTCGGGATACTCAGCAACTCTGGGAGTGGGGCCTGTGTAGAGATGTGTGTTTAATCCAGGAGGTAAAAAAGTAAAAATTCCCACAGAAAACCTGCTGGACCTTTTTAAATGTATAGAATTGATAAATAGCATGGTTTTATTTAAGTTTTTTTTGGGCTGTATTCCTCATTTTTCCTGGTTTTTAGTGCCTCAGGATGGTCAACATCTCTGGGAATGGGGCCTGTGTGGAGCTGTGTGTTTAAAGCAGGAGGTAAAAAAGTAAAAATTCCCACAGAAAACCTACTGGACCTTTTTAAATGTATAGAACTGATAAATAGCATGTTTCTATTTAAGTTTTTTTGGGCTGTATTTCTCATTTTTGCTGGTTTTTAGTGCGTTCGGATGCTCAGCATCTCTGTGAATGAGGCCTGTGTGGAGCTGTATGTTTAAAGCAGGGGTAAAAAATAAAAATCCCCACAGAAAACCTACTGGACCTTTTTAAATGTGTAAAACTGGTAGATGCCGTATTTTCATTTAACTTTTCTTGGGTTGTATTCCTCATTTTTCTGGTTTTTAGTGCTTCAGGATGGTCAACATGTCTGGGAATGGGGCCTGTGTAGAGCTCTGTTTAACCCAGGAGATAAAAAAGTAACAATCCCCACAGAAAACCTGCTGGAGCTTTTTAAATGTATAGAACTGATAAGGAGCAGGTTTTTATTTAATTTTTTTTGCAGTTGTATTCCTGATTTTTCCTGGGTTTTAGTGCCTCAGGATGGTCAACATCTCTGGGAATGGGGCCTGTGTAGAGCTCTTCATAAATCAGAAGGTAAAAAAGTAAAAATCCCCACAGAAAACCTGCTGAAACTTTTTAAATGTATAGAAGTGATAAAGAGCAGCTTTTTATTTAATTTTTTTGTAGTTGTATTCCTCATTTTTCCTGATTTTTAGTGCCTTAGGATGCTCAGCGTCTCTGGGAGTGGGGCCTGTGTGGAGCTGTGTGTTTAATCCATGAGGTAAAAAACTAAAAATCCCCACAGAAAACCTGCTGGACCTTTTTAAATGTACAGAACTGATAAATAGCTTGTTTTTATTTAATTTTTTGGGGTTGTATTCCTCATTTTTCCTCCTTTTTAGTGTCTCAGGAAGTCGATGAAGCGCTGAAAGCAGCGTTCGATTGAGGATTTTATTAAACCCTGTTGCATCCCAGCAGCCCCCAAACTCTTCCAAGTGTGGAATTTCGCTCCATGGATCTCCCCTTAATCCATTCCTGTCCCTGCCCCCCTTTCTGGTGTTTTTTAGGATCGGTTTGAGGGAGTTTTGGATGAAGACACTGCAGCTGAGGGGCTCCACAGACTGGGCTGCTCAGCCCCTGGCCTTGAATACGTTTATCTCGATCTATTCCTCTCAGTAAGTACAAGCAAAAAAAAAATCAGTTTTAAGTCCTTCTCTACTCACAAGTTTCCTCTTTCTACCAGCAAATAGTAAAAAAAGTATCCAAAAAAAAAATAAAAATATCAAGATGCAGATTTTTGTCTCTCCCTGTCAGTGCTGTTTCATATTTGTGGTTTCAAACCCATTTTTTTTTCTCTGGCAGAAGGTGTTAATCCATCCAATTTCTACATTTCAAACATCACTTTCTACAAAATGGAGAAACATGGGAAAATGGTGCACTGGAAAAATGTAAAAAATGGTGCATTCAAAAAGTTGAAATCTTTCATTAAAAAATTACTTACTTCTGTATCATTTTCCATGCAGCCTTTGTTTCCCTGGCATTTTTCCTGGCTCCAGGTTTCTCTCTCCTGGTTGTTTTAAAGTTTCTTTTTTGACCTTTTCTCCATTCGTGGCTGGTGTAACATCACTTGGTGTAAATGTCATGTCTTCACTGTCTCCTGCTCCTGTGTTTGCTCAGGTTGCACAACTGCTTGTTAAAAATCTCTTTATTTTCCTTTTTTGCAGGGTCGTGAGTTAAGGGACGTCCAAATCCTCTGTGGATTTGTCCACCTGCAGAAACTGGACCTTTCCTACAATAAAATTAATGGTTTGTTAGGTAAATAAGCCACAGTAAAATTCTTGGGTGGTGGAATCATCTCAGATGAGAAATTCCACTGTACTGGGGGGTATTTTAGTAACACAATATATCCAGCAATGGCTTGGATTGATATCCAGCAATATCCAAAAATATCCAGCAATGGCTTGATCGTTCTTCAAAAAATATCCAGCAATGGCTTCATCTTCTTCCAAAAACAATCCAGCAAATGCCTTCATTCTTCTTCCAAAAAATTAGTCAGCAAATGGCTTGATCTTCTTCCCCAAAATATCAAGCAATGGCTTGAAATTTCTTCCCCAAATATCCATCGTATGATGATCTTCCCAAAAAAATCCAGCAATCTGGCTTGATCTTTTCCCAAATATCCAGTAGCAATGGCTTGATCTTCTTCCAAATTATCCAGCCAATGTTATCTTCCAAAATATCCAACAATGGATGATCTTCTTCTCAAAACATTAACAGCAGTGGCTTGATCTTTTCTTCCCAAATTCAGCAATGGGCTTGAGATCTTTCTTCCCAAAAATATCCAGCTATACCTTGATCTTCTTCCCAAAAATATCCAGCTATGCCTTGATCTTCCTCCCAGAATATTCAACAATGGCTTGATGTTCTTCCCAAAATATCCAACAAGGCCTGATCTTCTTCCCAAAATATCCAGCAATGGCTTGATCTTCTTTCCAAAATATCCAGCCATGGCTTCATCTTCTTCCCAAAAATGATTCCAGCAATGGCTTCATCTTCTTCCCAAAATTCCAAGCAATGGCTTCATTCTTCTTTGCCCAAAATTATCCAGCAATGGCTTCATCTTCTTCCCAAAAATATCCAGCATGGCTTTCAATCTTCTTCCAAAATATTCCAGCAATGGCTTTCAATCTTCTTCCCAAATATCCAGCAATGGCTTGATCTTCTTCCCAAAATATCCAGCAATGGCTTCATCTTCTTCCCAAAATATCCAGCAATGGCTTCATCTTCTTCCCAAAATATCCAGCAATGGCTTGAAATTCTTCCCAAAATATCCATCTATGGATTGATCTTCCCAAAAAATCCAGCAATGGCTTGATCTTTTTCCTAAAATATCCAACAATGGCTTGATCTTCTTCCCAAAATATCCAGCAATGGCTTCATCTTCCAAAATATCCAGCAATGGCTTGGTCTTCTCCCCAGAATATCCACCAATGGCTTGATCTTCCAAAAAATATCCAGCTTTGGCTTGATCTTCTTCCCAAAATATCCATCAATGGCTTGATCTTCTTCCCAAAAATATCCAGCAATGCCTTGATCTTCTTCCCAAAAACACCCAGCAATGGCTTGATCTTCTTCCCAAACTATCCAGCAATGGCTTGATCTTCTTCCCAAAATATCCAGCAATGGCTTCATCTTCCCAAAATATCCAGCTATGGCTGTTTATTCCCAAAAAATCCACCAATGGCTTGATTTTTGTCCCAAAAATATCCAGCAATGGCTTCATCTTCTTCCAAAAAATATCCAGCAATGGCTTGATCTTCTTCCCAAAATATCCAGCAATGGCTTGAAATTCTTCCCAAAATATCCATCTATGGATTGATCTTCCCAAAAAATCCAGCAATGGCTTGATCTTTTTCCCAAAATATCCAGCAATGGCTTGATCTTTTTCCCAAAATATCCAGCAATGGCTTGATCTTCTTCCCAAATTATCCAGCAATGGCTTGATCTTCCCAAAGTATCCAGCAATGGCTTCATCTTCTTCACTTGAGGTGCTGGAAATTCAATTTACACCTTGGATATTTGCTCTTTCTGGTTTCAAACCCATCATTTTCTCTGGCAGAGGGTGTTAATCCCTCCGATTTCTGCATTTTAAACCTCACTTTTCTCCCTGTGCAGCTCCAAATTGATTCCTAATTTAAGGTAATTATCAAATTTCTAATTATCACGTGACGGCCTCTGCACCCACCTGTGCTGAGATTTAATAAATAAATTAAAATAATAAATTTAATTAATTTTTTGTTAGAGATTTAATAAATAAATAAATTAATAAATAAAACCCTGTGCAGGTTTTAATATCTTTCTTTTATTTCTAGATCTTTCTTGTGTCAGTCACATGCCTTATTTGCTAGAGCTGGACGCTTCCCACAATGAACTGACTGAGTGTTTCGGGTTCAAACCACCAAAAAACCTCAAGGTAAGGTGGCAAAAAAAGTGCCTTTTAGGGGTTTAAATTCCAAATAAATTCCCTGTTATGTCTGGGCAGAGGCAAAATCAAAAAACTAAATTCCTATTTCTTTTTTTTCACTTTAGGAAGCGGATTTTTCGTACAATCAAATCTCTAAAATGCAAGATTTGTCAGCATACCAGTGCCTTACTAAACTCTTCCTGGATTGTATCCTTTCTGGAATGAAAATGGGTTTTTAAGTTATTTTTTTATATGATTTTAAGGATTTTTAAGTGAGAGGCAAATTCCTGGAGTTTGAGGGAAGCACCCAAAGGTTCTGCTCCACACTCATCCTAGTTTGTGGAATTAGAAACACTCTTGGGACAGAAACTACATAAACACAAACCTGCAAATTGACTTTTTTTTATGGCTGCTTTTCCAAGAATTCCCACAGTCTCCCTAAAGATTCTGCAGTGCTTTCCTGAACTCTCCTGGACTTTCACAGCCTTCCAATTTTTGTGTGATGGAGAAGTGAAAAGTGACTTGTCCCAGTGTCTGTGCAGAGGGAATAAATAATCCCAGGATTTTTAAATAGCAGGGATTAACAAGGAATGATCTTGGAACACTGAGCTGCCTGAAATAAACTGTTGTTTAATCTCAGAACTAATTAAGCAGGGACTGGGCAGCACAAGGCATTTAATGGGAATGAAAATGAGTTTTTAAGTGATTTTTAAAGATATTTTAAGGATTGTTAAGTGAGAGACAAATTTCCAGAGTGTGAGGGAAGCACCCAAAGGTTCTGCTCCACACTCATCCCAGTTTGTGGAATTAGAAACACTCCTGGGGCAGAAACCAGATAAAGAGGAACCTGGAAATTAAGGTTTTTTTCATGGCTGCTTTTCCAAGAATTCCCAGAGTCTCCCTAAAGATTCTGCAGTGCTTTCCTGAACTCTCCTGGACTTTCACAGCCTCTCCTGAACTTTCCCTCTTTTCCTCAGGAATTGCATTTTCTGCTCTCTGAAAGGAACAACACTGGGGCTGTTGCACTTTTTTTCCTGCCCATTCCAAAATTATCCTAATACAGTCCCTTTTTTGTGGAGGAGCAGATGAAACATTCCCAGGCTGCCCAGGTGACATTATTCCCACATTTATGAGGTGTTCAGGTGACCTGATTCTTGTCAGAGCACAGCACTGAGTCACTCTGCCTCTGCAATTCTAATTTTCCTCTGCAGAGGCAAAAACCCCACAGCAAAATGAGAAGGGGAAAAGAAAAAAAAGCTCAAAGTCTCATATTGTGGGTCTGAATCTGGTTTTTTTTTTTTTCAATTTTATTTCAATTCCTTCATCTGGCAGTGAAGATGTTATTGAAATGGGGACAAAAATAGGTTCATTTTTGTCCACATCTGCACCAAAACCCCCTGAAATAGAGGGAAATGAGCCTGGAATTTAAAAAAAAATGCCAAATTATGAATAGCAAAGTGACACCCGTGTCAAACACTCCTCCCTGAGGACATGGCAGACAAAACAAGCTGCTTTTTTTAATAATCCTAAATTAAAAACCACATCCTGCAGCAGGGACACGTTTTGCAGGCATTTCTCCTTGACAGTAACTCAGCTTTTCTTCCCTTATTTAAGTTAAATTGTTAAATTAAATTATGATGCAGATGGTCAGGTCAGTATAACTTTTTTTCCTGGCAAGGTTTTTGTGTTATTTCCCTTAAATAAACCTCAGTTAATAATATCAGGGAAATCAAAGGACTGGAGAAGTGTCACAGCCTGACCCACCTGAGTTTGTCCCACAACAGCCTCAGGGCCATCAGCGGCCTGGAGAACCTGCCCCTCAGGATCCTCAATTTGGTAAGAAATCAATAATCCTGCTAGTTTCCTGTCAATGGAATAAAATGCTTTTTTTTTTTTAGAACAAAATCCTAATTAGAATAAAATGCACTTTTTTTAGAATAAAATGCTAATTAGAATAAAATGCACTTTTTTTTAGAATAAAATGCACGTTTTTAGAATAAAATACTAATTAGAATAAAATGCATTTTTTTTAGAATAAAATGCATTTTTTTAGAATAAAATGCCATTTCTTTTTAGAATAAAATGCACTTTCTTTTTAGAATAAAATGCTAATTAGAATAAAATTCACTTTCTTTTTAGAATAAAATACACTTTTTTTTCAGAATAAAATACACTTTTTTTTAGAATAAAATGCCCTTTCTTTTTAGAATAAAATGCCCTTTCTTTTTAGAATAAAATGCCCTTTCTTTTTAGAATAAAATGCGCTTTCTTTTTAGAATAAAATGCAATTTTTTTCAGAATAAAATCCTAATTAGAATAAAATGCACTTTCTTTTTAGAATAAAATGCACATTTTTAGAATAAAATGCTAATTAGAATAAAATGCACTTTTTAAAGAATAAAATGCTAATTAGCATAGAATGCACTTTTTTGTTTAGAATAAAATGCTAATTGGAATAAAATTCAGTTTTTTATATAATAAAATGCACTTTTTTAGAATAAGGTCCACTTTCTTTTTAGAATAAAATGCACTTTTTTTTCAGAATAAAATGCTAATTAGAATAAAATGCACTTTTTTTAGAATAAAATGCTAATTAGAATAAAATGCACTTTTTTTTTTTTTAATGGGAGCAATCACCCCCTTCTCTTCCCAGCAATTCCCTCCTTTCCTGTTTTCCCTGGAGCTTTTTAGGTTGAAAGAGTGGTAAGTTCTGAAGTTGGGAAGAAAGGCTGGACCCAAAAAGGCTCACATTTGCAATAAAAAAAAAATAAATAAGAAGTGCAGCTCTAATAAACTGGACTCTTAGGAATTTTCCGAGGATTTCTCCACAGATCCCTTTTGTTCCCGGAATTTTGCAACTGGAGCTCGGAGCTGTATCCCATTAAAGAGAGAGGGAGCCTCCATGCTATTAATAACCTAATTAAACATTTAAAAGCCGGGAAAAATGTCAAGGACAGACAACTGGAATAACACGAGAGTCAACCGGCTTGTTTGTCTCCATAGTTCCTAAATATTTATTAACAGAAGATGAGGCTTCCGAGCTTCCAGCACAAGGTGAGGCCGCTGGAAAAACAGGAATTCCAAGGTTATGTGTGGAAAGAATCTCGTGGAGGAGCCATTTGGGCACCTGTGGGCACTGGGACAGGGATGAGCAGAGAGCTGAGTTCTGTGGTGGTTTGGCCCTCAAGTCCTCAGGACCACAGTGAAAAGGGCTTTTATAAAGGAAAGGGAAGGGAGAAGAAAAAAAAAACACCAGAAGAACTAAAATAACAGAACTAAAGCAATATATATATGTATTTATGCTTACTTACGGTTACAAAAACTATATACACGTAAGAAAGAAACCCCCAACACCCAAAAAAACAGAAAAACAGGCATACTCAACTAATAAAGAACTAGCAAACCAAAATTTTAATGCTTTCCTTAAGAAAATGAAGGCCACTCCACCAAATCTCTCCTCTTGGATCGGGAAAACAACAGACCTCGCAGGCCTCACAAGGCCTTGCAGGCCTCACTCCCACACGAGCGAGAGCAGCCGTAGGGTTACAAAAACGATATACACATAAGAAAGAAACCCCCAACACCCAAAAAACCTCAGAGAAACAGATGTAACCAACTAATAAAGAACTAACAAACCAAAATTTTAATGCTTTCCTTAAGAAAACGAAGGCCACTCCACCAAATTTCTCCTCTTGGATCGGGAAAACAACAGGCCTCGCAGGCCTCACACAGGCCTCGCAGGCCTCACTGCCACACAAGCGAGAGCGGCCACAGGGACCGGCTGTCTCCAACTTCTCCAGAAAAAATCTGGCCAACCAACTTCCTCCAACTTCTATTTATGTTCCTACTTACGTAAAGAATAGCGTGGAATATTGGCATGTAGGTACTTCTCTAGTTTCGGCCTGGTTGCCAGGAAGAGGCCTAAAACCCAAACCGTTATGAGTTCAGAGCATGAGCGATTCCCTGATTTTTTGAGGCCCTGAGAAACAAAGCCATGTGGTGTGCAGGGATAAATGTGGGGCTTCCATGTCACCTGGTTTGGGAAAGGAATGTCAAGCAGCAACAGTTGGTTGTGAGTTCTCAAAACCAGGGGTCAGTTCTTGGGTTGGTCCAGATGAATTTACTGTAAAGTGGTTGTTTGTTGTTTGGGTTTTTTTAATTATTATATTTTAAACATTTCCGTGCCTGCTGTCACTGACAGGAAACCAAGTCTGCCTTCCTTAATGTGCATTCATAAAAATTGGTGTATCCCAGAGATATTTTTAGATCATCTTGTAGAATCACTGAGTCAGGAAAAGTTTGGGTGGGAAGGGACCTTCAAGGTCATCCAGTGCCACCCCCTGCCATGGGCAGGGACACCTTCCACTAGCCCAGGTTGCTCCAACCTGGCCCTGGACACTTCCAGGGATCCAGGAGCAGCAACAGCTTCTCTGGAAAATCCATTCCAGTCCCTCCCCACCCTCCCATCCTTCCCAATATCCCATCTATCCCTGCCCTCTGGCACTGGGAAGCCATTCCCTGTGTCCTGTCCTTCCATGCCTTGTCCCCAGTCCCTCTCCAGCTCTCCTGGAGCCCCTTTAAGCCCTGGAAGAGGCTCTCAGGTCTCCCTGGAGCCTTCCCTTCTCCAGGAGAACAGCCTCCACCCTCAGCCTGTCTCCTGTATCTTCTGAATTAATATTTTCATTAATTATTCTGCAATCAAAATGTAAATATAACCCCGATTACAGAGGGAAATTCAATGTATTTATGTATATATATTCTATCCTTTTATGTGCATATCAATATTCTAAATTTTTTTATAGTGACAAGAGCATTCTTAGGCCAGAATCAGCTTTAAAAGGATGTTAAAGCTCTTTTTATTGCTGTTGTCTCTCGCTGCTCTTCAAGGTGAGTTGAAGATGAGCTAATCAGGACATCCTTGAGCAGGATGGAAAAGCTGTAATGTGTCACCTCGAGATGAAGATGGGGCATAACAGGATTCTCAACAAGAAAATGAACTCAGGAATGTTGTTTTCCACCCGTAGAACTTGATGAACAGTTTCTGTGCTTTCATTTCTCAGGGCTTCAACCAGATTGAGAAGGCGACTGGGCTGGAGAGCTTGAAAACTCTACAGAAGCTGGACCTGTCCAGCAATAAAATAACCAGTTTACAAGGCTTGCAGGGACATGATCTGCTGGAGACCGTCAACCTGGAGGATAACCAGGTACCACACTTCATATCCACCTCAGCTTCTCCTAAGAATGCAGAATATATTTATTTTTTTAAATTAAATTTCTTTGAGAGGTCAAAAAATCTCACGACACTGCAAGAAATTAATATTAGAATCATAGAATCATAGAATTATAGAATCAGAAGGGTTGGAAAGGACCTCTGAGATCATCCAGCCCAACCCTTGATCCACGACCTCCACAGTTCCCAGCCCATGGCACTGATGCCACATCCAGTCTCACCCAAAACACCTCTAGGGATGGAGAATCCCCCACTTCCCTGGGCAGCCCATTCCAATGGCTGAGCACCCTCTCTGAAAAGAATTTCTTCCTGATGTTCAACCTAAACTTCCCCTGGCACAGCTTGAGGCCGTGCCCTCTTGTCCTACTGCTGGTTCCCTGGAGCAGAGTCTGACCCCCCCCGGCTCCCCCCTCCTGGCAGGGAGTTGCAGAGAGTGAGGAGGTCTCCCCTGAGCCTCCTCCTCTCCAGGCTGAGCCCCCCCAGCTCCCTCAGCCTCTCCTCCCAGCACTTGGGCTCCAGTCCCTTCCCCAGCCTGGCTGCTCTTCTCTGCCCCTGCTCCAGCCCCTCCAGGGCCTTCCTGAGCTCAGGGCCCAGAGCTGGACACAGCACTCCAGGGGTGGCCTCCCCAGCGCCCAGCCCAGGGGCACAAGCCCTGCCCTGCTCCTGCTGCCACACCCCTGGGGACGGATCCCAGCTGGAAGCAGCTCCATCCCCACCACTCTCTGGGCCCTCAGCCAGTTCCTCACCCAGCCCAGAGTGCCCCTGGCCAAGCCTTTTCCAGGAGTGTCCCATGGGAGACGGTGTCCAAGGCTTTGCTGAAGTCCAGGCAGACACATCCACACCTTCCCCTCACCCACCAGGCGGGTCAGCTGGGCATAAAAGGAGCTCAGGTTGGTCAGACAGGACCTGCCCTTCCTAAATCCATGCTAGCTGGGTCTGATCCCTTGTCCATCCTGTAGGTGCTGTGGGACTGCACTCAGGATGATCTGCTCCAGAACCTTGCCAGGCACTGAGGTCAGGCTGACAGGCCTGGAGTTTCCCAGGTCCTCCTTCCCGCCCTTTTTGTGGAAATAGGACACCTTTTCCTTTTCCTTTGTTGTTTCACTCCAAGGCTGCTTCACATTTGACAGCCACAGATCCTTCTGAGCTCTCAGCTGGAAATTCCTGGCAGGCAGAACTGCAGGTTCTCTGCCCTAAAGTGGCTTTTGTGACGCAGCAGAATTTTCCCTGGAATTACAGTGGTACAGTGGAAGTACAATCCAACTCACTGGTATTTATATACAGACTACTCTCGATACTGCTCTTCTTTTTTAATTGAAAATAGCACCAATTCATGAACCACTTCGATATCAAAGACAGATCTCCCTGTGAAAAGAAATCCTGCGAAAATCAGAAATAAAACCACCAACCAGCAATGGAACATTTTCTGTCATTTTTTCCCCACTTGCAAGACACATTTATTTACAGGATTAATTCGAAGCACTGGGGATTCTTTTTCTCTCACTGTGTTCAGGTTGACATTTCAAGGTGCATCAGCTGCATCAGACAGGAAACTACCTCATAATAAGCTTGTTATTAGCATTAATAACACCACTTCCAGGGCCTCATGTAGTTTCCCCTGTTCTTTCCAGCACGTAAATGCTATTTATTTTACCTCATCCAAATTTGCCTCTTGGAATGATGTTATTGAAACTGTTTAATGAGTCACCGTTTGGTTTTTTTGGACCTCGCCTTCTGAGGAATAATTTAAAAGGGAATTTTAATCCATTGCCACAGGAAGGTGTGACTTATTCCAGCTCAGTTCCACTCAGCACCATCTTCAGGGGTTGATTTTTCAATGCTGGACATGATAGGTTTCTCTCCTGTAAACATGTTCAGTGATTAGTGGTTGGAATTTTTATGATTTCTTTGGGAAATCTTCGGTCAAACTTGGTTTGTGGCTTGTCTCAAAATGAGCCTCGGGTAGGCTGTGGTTGAAGTTTATATTTTTAGGCACTTTACATAAGATGAGTAGAAATTAGGGATAGAATTGGAAGTCTTTTAGGGTCAGTTGGCCTTTTAGGACTAAAAGGGGGCTTCTAAAAAGAGGGAGAGAGACTTTTTACAAGGGCAGATGGTGATAGGGTGAGGGGAACAGCAAACTGGAAGAGGAAAGATTTACATGGGATGCTGGGAAGGAATTCCTGGCTGGAAGGCTGAGGAGGACCTGGCCCAGGTTGCCCAGAGAAGCTGTGGCTGCCCCTGGATCCCTGGAAGTGTCCAAGGCCACGTTGGAGCAACCTGGGCTAGTGGAAGGTGTCCCTGCCCGTGGAACAGGATGATCTTTCAGGTCCCTTCCCACCCAAACCATTCTGGGATGATTCCATGATTCACTTTTTCAGCAGAGGAGGAAAAGCAGGTATTCCCACGAGGCAATTCATCCCAGCCCACCATGGATGGGACAGCTCTGGAACTGCCCCCTGTCCACTGATGATAAAGTGACTCACCTGAGTAGCTGAGATGAGGAGACACGAATTCCACCTTGTTTTCATCCAGAGCTTCCCAGCTCTTCCCTCAGGGTCCAGCACCACTGCCATGGGTTTGTTTGGGGCACACAAACCTTAATTAACTCCACTACTGTTTATCTGATGTGCCTGAGTGCAGCTTTCCTTGGTGGACAGATGAGCCCACAAGTGGAATTTATCCCCCTCTGGACACAACCAGCCAAGGACAATGAACTTGAACTCCAGAGAAAAGAAACTCTTAAAAGGAATTTCTTTTGTTGTTTTTTTTTTGGCTAGTCAGCCAGAGCACTGACTATAACTGCAGAATTGCCTCACTTAAGCACATCAGCCACATAAAAGCTAAATGTTTTAGGGCTTGACATTTGAAAAGAACTGGGGGAAAGTGCAGGTGGTTGGAAATTGCTGTCTGGATGACACCGCCCCGCTCCAGCTCCCAGCCAACTCGTCTGCCTTTTTTTGTGACTGAAGTGCCTCATTGAATGCAGTTAACATGTAAACCCCCTCGGGGGGTATAATGATGGGGGTTTTTTTACATCCAGATTTTAAGAGCAGGGATGAAAATGCTTTTCTTTTCCCCTCACAGTTTTGGTAGGTGCCGTCGCTGCCGATTTAACAGCTCTGTTTCTGTCGTTCATTAGGTTGCTGAGCTGCCTGAGCTCAAGTGGATTGAAGATCTGCCCCTCCTCCGAGTTCTCAACCTTTTAAAAAACCCTCTGCAGGTAAGAAAGAGGCCAAAGAGGAACCCAAAAAATTAGGATCTAAACCCAGGTGGTTTGGATCACACCGGAATCTTTTGAGCCTCAAGTTTCTGTCTTTGTTGGAAGTCATTTCAGGGAATGAGTGGAAGAAATGTTGATCCCTGGGTTGATTCCCAGCCTTTCTCTGGGAAATTTGTCTGAACCAAAGCTGCACATGAATCATCTTGCTGAATATCCACACATTAATTTTATTAATTCCATTTTTTAATCCATTTATACATTTGTACCCCATGATTTCTGTGTGTTAAAAGATCCCCTTTTTGTTTGATTTGAAGGCCTATTTTTCCTATTAAGCTTGAAGAAGCTTAATAACACCCCTTTTAAAATAATGTCTGTGGAATCTATATCCTCTTTTCTTCCTAGTTCTCATTAATGGCCCCCCTAATATTCCTCAAGTGAGGAATCAAACATTCATTTTATCAACAACAACATCCTTTGCAAAATATCAGAAACTCTGACTTTGCATTTGCAATTTGTCCTGAGTGATCAAAGATGATTTTATCCTGAGCTGTGATTTCTAAATTTTGGGGGACTTTTACAGATTTCCAATGGCAGAAAGAGGAATAAATGTCAAAAGAGTTGAATTTTTTCCTGTAATTGCCAGTTTTTTATTGGCTTTTATGAGAATGATCTGTTGTGACACACAGTGAAATTAGCAGGAAAAAATACCTGAAATAGGCAGCTCCTGGTCCCCCATAAGAGTTTTTTTTTTTTATTAGATGTCCTCCTAAGCAAAGTTTGATCATATTCTTTTTGAGCTTTTAATTCCCATCTTTTGCCCTTTGTAGTTTCAGCCTTTTGAACAACTCAGGTCTGGCAGCAGCAGCTGAGCTTGTTGGGGGGGGTCAATTTGTGCTTGGTACTGACACACCCAGGGTAAAAATCTGGGGATGTATTAAGGCCAATTTCATTTCAAACGATTGGAATTAAATATTACATGGAGGAAATCGAGTATTTGGTGTCAAATTAGAAACTTTGTCCCTCAGGAACAAGCAGATTATTGGCTCTCGGCGATTTTCGCGGTGCTCCAAGTCACGGAGCTGGACCTCAAGAAGGTTGCAGTGAAAGAAAAGGTATGCAAACATCATGTCATTCTGGGATTTTTCTAAATAAAGACCATGAAATCTGTAAAATCTCCTCCCCCCAAATAGTTGCTCACAGTAACTATTGGAATAAAAACCTTTCCCTGTCGTGGTGCCTGAACTGTAACTTGGTTGCTGCCCGTTGTATTTGGGCCCAAGCCAAGCTGGAACTTTTAGGATCATCAGCTGCCAGTTGGGGTTGTGTTTCAAGGAATTATCCTTTAAAAAATCATCCTTTCAGGAAATTCATCACTCCCAACTTCAGCTGCATAAATATTAAGGTTCTTGTTTAATGCCAGCTTTATTCTGCCATGAACACACAGGAGGGATGACACCAGAGTGTCATTTACCCCACCTTTGAGATGCTGATCTTGCTCTTTATCTTAAGTACCAACCTGTTTCCCTCCTAATATAAATTTTAATATATTAACAACATTTTTCCTTCTCTGTGGACTGTCAAAATTAAGCCTGGGTGGCTGGTTTAGACTGGCCCTTTGGGGTGATAAAAGTTATTCCCGAAAATCCTCCCCTCTGGTTATTTTAGGATGTCTCAGCCTTGTGAATTCTCTTGGATTTGGAGGCACCAGCTCTTCTGTCTCGCTGGCACAAAATGGACATTCAGAAATGTTTTAGTTTAGATCAAAAATGCAGCAGCTCAGAAGTTTAGATCAGTAGTTGAGCTCAGAAGTTTGGAAGGGGAAACTCCTGGTTGCTCATGTTTGATTCTGGTCGTGGAATAATCTTGTATTACATGAACTAGAGCTCTTTTGGGATAACCTTGGCCAGATGATGTGCACCAGGATGCACCTACTGTGCTCCCAGCCACTAATTCCAGCACCAAATTAAAGCTAAAATGGAATTGCCTCCTCTTCTCCCAGAGTAGCATGGACATTGGATTCCAAGATGGAATGTTTTCCACCACAACCTGTCCTAATATAGGTATAACTGCCATGAATCATAGAATACCAGGTTGGAAGGGACCTCATGGATCATCTGGTCCAACCTTTTTTTGGGGAAAAGAACCATAAAAGATGGCCCAGCACCTTTGTTCAGCCCAATCTTAAAAGTGCCCGACACTGGGAATCCACCACTTCCCTGGGGAGGTTATCAGAAAATCCAGGATGGTTTGGGTTGGAAGGGACCTTAAAGATCATCTCATTCCAACCCCCTGCCATGGGCAAGGACACCTTCCACTAGCCCAGGTTGCTCCAAGCCCCATCCAACCTGGTCTTGAATATTCCAATGATTGTTTTCACTGTGAAAATTTTATCTCTTGTATCCAATTAGAATCTCCTCAGGAGTTACTTGTAGCCATTGACCCTCATTTTATCCTGGGATTCCTGGTACAAAGGGAGTCTCCATCCTTGTAGCCACACTTTAAACATTGGAATATGATCATAAGGTCTCCCTGAGCCTTTTGTTCTCAGGGCTGAACAAACCCAGCCTTTCAGGCTTCCTGGTCCTTGGATCATCTTTGTGACCCTTCTCTGGACCCTCTCCAGCCTGTCCACATATTTTTTGTATACCAGGAACCAAAACTGAGCCCAATATTCCAGGTGTGGCCTGGCAAGTGCTGAGCAGAGCGGGATAACAACTCCTTGTGATACAACCTGCTCACTCCTACTGAGCTTGTTCTCCCCCAGGTCCCTTCCTGGCAGATCCCAGGTAGATCCCAGCCTGTGTTGCATTCCTAGATTATGTGTTTTCCCAGGTGCAAAACCTTCCACTTGTCCTTGTGGAAGTCCTTACCTTATTTCTGAGTGTGTAACATTTAACAACACCCAAAAATACACAGCTCCTTCCAACAGAAGGGATGGAGGGAATCCTTGGAATTTGAGTGCTTTTCCTCCCAGGAAAGACAGAAATGCATTGTCAGGAGAAAACTGGAGTTTGCTTGTTTTCTTTATTATTTCTGTTCCTTTTCTGAATGGCTCCAGTCCCTGAGGATTTGAGTTTGGCATCTTCCACCAGCACTGAGAGGATGCAAATTAATGGATAATTAAAACCTAAGCAAAATTACTTTGTGGCATCCTGTTTTCTTCCCTGGGAAAAGGTTGAATATATTAAAGATGGTGAGTTATATCTGGCTGCCTTCCATCCATCCATCAAACTCTGCCTAAATCTCCTGGAAAGATTTATGTGGCAAGCCCAGCACAAAGACTGACCCCCAGAAACACAAATCCATCATTATTCACAGGGACCTTTGAAGCCAAATTGCAGCTGGAAGCAATTATATCACTGCTTTTCTTTCTTTTTTGCCCCTCTAAACTGTGGGAACAGGTTGCTGCTGTGAATAAATATGATCCTCCTCCCGAAGTTGTTGCTGCAGATGATCACAGGTCTCTGGTGCTATACCACATGATGCAGCCCCAGAAAATCCTGCACAGGTGAGTTCACCTCATTTCCCAGCTGCTCCTCAGGGTGGCACTCAAGTAAAGCTCAATCCGTTGGCATTTTTAGAGGGACTTTTTTATGTCCTCTAAATTAATCAGGGGAAAGGGGGGAGAAGTTCTGTCCTATTCCAGTGGCAGCCTGGAAATGAGGCAAATCTGATTTGCTCCAAATTGCTCATGAAACCAAGTTCCTCCTTCACCTCCAAAATCTGAGACAGATTGGCCACAGCTCCGCTTCTCTCAAACAATCTGTTGGAGCAGATGGCCCTTTGCACCACAAACAAGAGCTGCAAAATTCCCACCGATGCCCAGAGGCACTTGGAAAAATCCCTGGAGGCACAGGAGCTGTGAAACATCCCCTTCCCATCCTGCTGACACCTTCCCTTCCCACTCCTGGCATCCCATTGGGAACAAAATGCCTTTTGGGGTTTTTTTTGCATCTTTTATATTCGTGAGGTGAATTTTTTCTTAAGTTTGTACCGAAGGAAGTCCAGTTTCTTCTGCCTTTTTGGGAGGAGATGATGCAACTCAAAACACAGGAAAGGCTCTTTGAAATA